AGAGCAAAGCGGGAGAAAAGCAGGGGAGAAGTAGCACGGTGAGTTGAGAACCAGAGGGAACGAGCTTTACACTGCAGATTTGGGAATGTTCCTCAGCTTCCCGGTGAGGAAAGATGTGGGATCGGTGCAGGCAAACTCAGTTTTCAGCAGCAAAAAGGGAACTTTGGGGGTAGGAGAGGTGGAGGGTGAACACTGTGGGTTTGGGTGTGGGAGTGGGAGAGTCCTTCCACTAGCCCAGGTTGCTCCAACCTGGCCTTGGACACTTCCAGGGATGGGGCAGCCACGGCTCCTCTGGGCAGCCTGTGCCAGGGAAGCAGATGAGGATGTGTCCCACCCTCTGCTCCGTGGACAGGGAGGTGAAAAAAACAACTGGGGTGGAGACCAGGAGGCTCCAGAGGGCAAACAAAAATGTGGATTTGTGGAGACAACCGTGCAAGGAGACAGGCCAATGCAATTTTAAGATGATCAGTAAATATTTGTGAGCTGCTCAACAGCCCCTAAATTCCTTACTTGTACCTCAAAGCAGCCCCTGGTGCAGATCAAGCTCTGTCCCACAGACCACGGGCAGCAGGGCCAGGACTGTCCCCTCCCAGCAGGAGAAGCCAAATGGTGCCAGGCAGGAGAGACTCTGCCCCTTCCTGCCTTGTCTGGGGAGCAGGGGAAGGAAAAGCCTCCTCAGGGCCTGGACAGGAAAACCCAAGCCAAGGGCTGCATCTCAAAGAAATGACTGGAAAAACGATCATTTCTGGCTCTCCTGGCTGCGATGTCCAGCCTGGAGTGGGAACAGGTGATGGATGCTGGAGACAGGGAAAAGGAGACTCCATCGCATCCCCTCCAACCTCCTTCTAGCACTGAATATCCTGAGCACCTGGAGGACTCCTGGAGGGGCTGGATCAAGCTCCAAAAATCACTCTTGGACAAGAGGACATTTCTCCAGCCAAGGCTTTCCCAGAGAATTCCTCTCCCTGCCTGACTTTAGGCATGTTTATCTGTTTTCCCACCAGAGGCAGGTTGTTTATAAACAACCACTTCCATCTGCTGTGGAAGGTGATGCTCCCGGTGAAATCCAGTGCTGCTGTTCCCAGGAACACCCCCCTCCCAGCAGCAACAGCCCCACTTCAAAGCCAGGGAATCAAAGCCCCAGAGAGGGCTCCCAAGTGCTGCCAAGAATGTCCTGCATGGATTCTGTGTGGGGCTGTGACACATTTGGGAAACGAGGCAGAAAACAGAGTATTTCCCTCCTCCTTTGCTCCAAATCCAGCAAAAAAAAGGGAAGACCCCTCACAGGAGAGCAAGGTTGGGATGGGACAAGGCAGTTCCAAGCATCCTGGAAGAACAGGGGCTGGTCCAAGTGATTATTCCATGATTTGACCCACCCCCAGCCCCAAATCCTTGTGATATTCCCAGTTTCCACACCGTTTCTCTTCCAACTCAACCCACACCTCTCCTCACTTTGCCTCCCTTCACCCTGAGCAACCAGAGCCTTCCTTGCTCCTCCCACTCCACATCCCAGCACAGCCAAACTCCTCCCCACCCCTGGGAAAGCCTCTCCAGGATTTTCACCTCCAAGAAGCCGTGGAGTTTTGGAGCTGGGCCCTGCAGGGCTGGGAATGCACTCTGAGAATGGAAACACCTCTGTGTGAGTGTCACACTCACAGCTGAGTGTTGCTGAACATCTGGAAAACAACATTCCTGGAGGGATCTCACCCCTCCTGGGGATAGAGGAGCATCCCATAAAGCTGCCAGGGCTCTTGGTCCCTCTGCAACACTTTTAGCAGCACTGGAAACGACCCCCAGAACCCACCCTGGGCTTCACCCAACAGCCAAGGGGCAGATGGAATCTCCTGGGGACGTGTGAGGGATGAGGGGGTTATGAAATGCTGGGGGTAAAACAGCTACTTCTGGCCAACACCTGAAGTGAAAACCTGTGCCTGGGATGGAGGGAGGAAGGACACAAAAGGGATTTCCCCCCACCCCCATCAGTTTATGGTGTCAGAGCACAAAACAGTCACTTTTGGGGTTGTTTGTGGTTTTTCCCTCTTTTTTAAGATCACAGAATCCCAGACTGGTTTGGGATGGAAGGGGCATCAAAGATCATCCAGTCCCACCCCCTGCCATGGGCAGGGACACCTTCCACTAGCCCAGGTTGCTCCAAGCTTCATCCAACCCGGTCTTGGACACTTCCAGAGATCCAGGGGCAGCCACAGCTTCTCTAGGAAATTCATTCCAGGGCCTCCCCACCCTCACAGACAACAATTTCTCCTCAATATCTCATCTATCCCTGCCCTCTGGCAGTGGGAAGCCATTCCCCCTTGGCCTGTCCCTCCATCCCTTGACCCAGGTCCCTCTCCAGCTCTCCTGGAGCCCCTTTAGGCCCTGCAAGGGGCTCTCAGCTCTCCCTGGAGCCTTCTCTTCTCCAGGTGAACCCCCCCAGCTCTCCCAGCCTGGCTCCAGCGCAGAGGGGCTTCAGCCCTCGCAGTATCTCCATGCGATTCCCTTATCCCACGGCTCCAGCAGGGGCAGCGCCGGCAGCCGCAGCTCCACCACTCCCCCCCCCCGCCACCTACAGACACATACCCCACAAATACACACGTACAGCGGGGGCAGCGCAGGCCCGGCCGGGACTCACCGGGGCCGCTCCGCCGCCTCCTCCTTCCCCTGCGCCTCCTCCTCCTCCCGCCGCTTCCGGTCGCGCAGCGCTGACGCCACTTCCGGTCTCTCCCCCGCACACCACGTGACACGCGGGTCATGTGTCTCCGAGGGGCGGAGAAGTCACGTGGCCGCCCCGGGAGTCGCCAGGGCCGTTCCGGGGTCCGTGAGGGGGAACCGGGAGCGGGACCCTGAGGGACCGAGGGGAGCTACGGCACCCTCACTGCCCTCGCAACTGGCTTTCCCGGAGAAGCCGTGGTTGTCCCATCCCTGAAAGTGTCCAGGAAGGACGTGGAGCTGCTGGAGAGAGTCCAGAGGAGGCCCCGGAGCTGCTGCCAGGGCTGGAGCCCCTCTGCTCTGGAGCCAGGCTGGGAGAGCTGGGGGGGTTCCCCTGGAGAAGAGAAGGCTCCAGGGAGAGCTGAGAGCCCCTTGCAGGGCCTAAAGGGGCTCCAGGAGAGCTGGAGAGGAACTGGGGACAAGGGATGGAGGGACAGAACAAGGGGGAATGGCTTCCACTGCCAGAGGGCAGTTTTGGATTAGATCTTAGGAAGAAATGCTTCCCTGTGAGGTGGTGAGGCCCTGGCCCAGGTTGGGCAGAGAAGCTGTGGATGCCCCTGGATCCCTGGAAGTGTCCAAGGCCGAGTTGGATGGGGCTTGGAGCAACCTGGGCTAGTGGAAGGTGTCCCTGCCCATGGCAGGGGGTCAGACTGGATGGGCTTTAAGGTCCCTTCTTACCCAAACCGTTCTGTGACTATGATTCTGTCATTAAATCGCCCTTTTGGCTGCAGGTATCTCAGGGTACCTGCACACCCAGAAATGTCCTTCCCATGTCCCCAGAGAGCCACCAACTTGAGGGGCTTCCCCTAACCGTGGGGGTGGGCTCCTGTCTGGGCTGTGCCTGTCATTGCAGCCCTTCCAGCAGAACTGGGGGGATCCAGGTGACAAGGGACCTGTGGAAAGGGGATTAAGGTAACAAGGGACCAGTCGAGCTGGTCTATTCTGACCCCTGCTGAAGCAGAGCCTGATGGCCAGGGCTGTGTCCAAGCTCCACTGTGCCCAGAAATCTCTCTCCTGTCCACTCTGAGCTTTCAGCATTTGCAAACCGTGATTAAATAGGGCCTTGAGCTTTCCTTAGCACTTGGATCCCTTCCTGACCTTTCTACGAGGTGAATTTCCTGCTCACCTCTTCCTTTGATCAGCCTTTTATCCCCTGGCAACTGAGGAAATCACATTTCCAGGACTCCAGAGGGAGTTGGAGAACCTCACTGGCTGATGTGCCTTAAAACCTGAGGGGACTCCTGGAATCCCTGTTTCACTTTGCCCCGGGAAGCATCAACTTGGTCACCAGAGGGCAGGAGACCTCTGTAATAAAGCTGCATTTGGGAAAAGTGCTGGAATTGTTGTTTTTTTTAGAAAACTAGTGATCTGAATGTTGCTTTAATGTGATGTCGACCGAGCAGCTAGAGGGGATCCTTTGGAGTAAAAACCTGCAGGAGGTCTGGGACAAGATGTTATGTCCCTGGTGGTGAGGGAAGGTGGAATGGACTTCAGCCTGGGTTCTGCATCCAAATCCTCCCTGGCAACGCAATGTCCTCCTTTTCAAGCCCAAATCATGGAGGATCCAGCAAAAATTTCATGCATTTTGACTGTTTTCCAGCCCCTTCAGCCCATGGTGGGGAAATTGGGGAACCCCCAGAGCTGTTGTGAGGGGTATGGACCTTCCAACCAAGGTCTTGGCATGGGGGAGAAGGGGAATTGCCTTCTCACCATTCCAGCTTGCTCCGAGGCGTCTCCACCTGGATCTTGTTTTCCCCAGTGTGTCCTCACCTGGAAATCCATCCCTCAGGCCCTCACCTGGCTTGGGGGCAATTCAGGCTCTGAATGTTGGGAGGTCTTGGAGCTGGGCTGTGGGACTGATGGCAAGTCTGTCTCAGTCAGCCCTGGGACACTCCCAAGGGATCCAGACACATCCCTGGGGGTCTGAGCTGAGGTGAGACCACCAAGACTGACGCGTTTTCCAGCCCTGTGGCCTTGTGGCTTGTTCTCAAGTGCTTGGAGAGCACGAGCAGCCCTCGTGCCCTTGGACAGGGGAACATCTCACCTGGACATGGACACACACAGCATCCTACTCTGCTCCCAACCACCTCCACCTTTCCCCTCCTGCTCCAAACACAGCTTTCCATATTCCAGGACGGGAGCTATGAGGGAGCTCTGGGTTGGAGGGTGCTGGTGCATCCAGGGTGAGGTTCTTCCTGCAGTTCCCCAGCCTGGCTGTGGGTTGATCCCAAAATCCATCCCCATTTTCTCCCCCCTTCTCCCACTCCTGACACAATCAGACAAACCACACAGTCCTGTTTTTAAAACGGGGCCTTTCTCCATTTTTATTTTGCCCAATAAAAATCCTTCACAGTCAGGTAGAGAGAGGAGAGCTGGAGATACGTATACATATAGATCTGCATGTCTATTTATATATATACATACCTCTGTACAGATATATTTATATATTCACCGTAGAAAATGGCAAAGGCAGTAGCTCTTCACATCTGGATAAACCCAATGGAGACATACAACAGACCAGCAGGAAACTGGGAAGTGTGGTAAGAGTTTTAACATGAATTTCCAAAACAGATACACCTTTGCTGTACAAAAATCCCGGAATGCTGCGTGTTACCTCTTTTTTCCTTTTTTTTTTTTTTTCCCCCCAACCTCTTGTCTTTTAAATACATTTATAAACCAGAGGCAAATTCAAGACAACGGTGTTTTGGAAGTGACCAGTGGACAGGAGAGACACCCAACTTTATGGAGTTCTTTTTTAAATATTTTTATTATTTTTTTTAAGTATATATATATATATATATAATTTTTTTAATTTTTTTTTTAGATTTTTTCTCTTTTTTTTTTGCAAAGTCTCATTAAACGCAGTTCGGAGAACCAGCAACAGTCGACGCAGAAACAGAACAGTAACGGAGTCGAGTTCAGAACACTTCTGGTTTGAATTCACAGTCAGAGCAGAGAGAAACCAACAGGAGGGAAGAAAGCACGAGGCCGGGATCGAATTTACAGTCGGGAATGCCTGGAGTTGGACAAAGGGTCGGATGCAGAAGGTCCTGCACGGACACAGCCCGGCGGCCGAGCGGGGCCGGGGGGCCCCGGCTGTTATTGCTGGTGAAGTGGGACAGCAGGCTCGCTCAGGCCCTACCTGGGAGCTGGGATTTGGGGATCAAGGGGGGGACAGCTATGGATCTGCTGGAGGACAGACGCAGGACACGGGCGACTTGGCGACGTGTTTAGGACGAGGGACCCTCCCAAGCGCGGCAAAGGCCGAGAGGGGCTGCCCTCGGCTCACAGCGATTCCAGGTCCCAGGGAGTGCAAACAAAGACACCTTGGAGGAGCCCTGGCCCCGGGGTGGGCTCTGCAGGGACCCCCCTGCCTGGAAAGGGACTGCATAGACACGGTGTGTGTGCAGCATTGTGTAGCACCGGTGCTGGGACGCTCCGGCACCGGTGCTGGAGCTCTGCCTGGGGGTGTTCTGCTCCTTTCAGTCACCTGTGGAGAGAAAGGGACCTTCTCCTCCAGGAGGGCAGCCTGGCTCTTGGGAATGGCAGAGCCACAGTCTCCCACTGGTGTCTGGTTGTGGCTCTGTGAGCTCAGACACCCCAGTGGCTCCCACGTGGAGAAAACCTGCAGGGACAACCATGGGATGGGACCAGGAGGGGATGGATCACACCTCCTGGGGGCCCAGGCTGGTGGCCTGCTGGGTAAGGGCAGCTCTGGGCTCTCCAGGTGAATTGGGACCACCAAGCTCAGATTGGTGGTTGTTTGGAGCCAGACTGGACCTCGCATCCCTTTCCGAAGGAGGAGAGCCCAGGGCTGGAGCTTTGAAGGTATTCAAGGGAATACTGGCTTCCCTGCAGGTGTCAGAGTTGGGAAGAGTCCCTTTGAAATCACCCTAGAAAAACCTATTGCTTTGGGACAGAAAGCAGAGACTTTCTGCCGGAAAAAACAGATCTGTGAAAGAGCTGTGAGAACACAACCTTGTCCCAGGCTCCAGACCTGACACGATCCCCTTCAGGGGGAGAACCAGGGAGGAGGATTATCCTGAAAATTGTTTCTGGTGAAACATCCTATTGGGAAACCAACATCTGCAAACAGCTGCATGAGATCCCGACCCCTCAATAGACTGGGGGGGGTCCTGTGTGCCCCTACAGACCTCATAGACCCCTCATGGCCCTGTTTTTCCAGAGGGTGGAAGGAGCAGGGAGCCCCAGAGCTGGTGGGTGGGGTGTTGTGATGGTGTGAAGCCCCGTGCAAGGATCTCATGGGAATGTCCTTCAGCAGGAAGCCAAGTTGCTCTTGGAGGTAAAGCAGGACTGATGGAGCTGCCATGGGAATGATGGAGAGGAGAGGTGAGGACCAGCAGTCTGGAAAGCTCCTCTGAGGGCAGGGTTGGGATATGTCACTGTCAGTGGGGGCTGTGGGCTCCAGCTCCATGTTCAGATGTACCTGGGAAAGTTCTGGGAGAGTCACTGGTTGCTCCAGTGGGATGAGGAGGATCTAAAAGGAGGCAGGAGAGTCTGGAGAGCTGGGGCAGAGGAACAGCAGGGCACAGGCAGCACATGAGCAGATCTTTAGCAAGGGCTTTTGATGGACAGTAACTCTATCAAGGGGTTTCAAGGCTTAGGATGAAGGATTGGGTTAAATTAACGGTGATTGGACCCTCTCCTGTCCCAGGAATGGAATGGAGAAGGCTGAGCACAGCTGGGGAGCAGAGGCACGGTGAAAAGGCATCTGCCCAAGGCCCAGACCCACCTGAACACCATTCACAGGAGCCCTGATCTTCCACTGGCCTGTGGCCTGCTTGCCAAGGCTGGGACCAGGTCCAGGAGCTTCATGGAGCCAAGCTGGGCAGAGCTGCCTTCAGCACTCCAAGCAGGAGAAGCAAAGAGCAAAGTGCATTCACCTTGGAATTTGGTTCCCTGGTAAGGAAGGTGCTGAGGAGGCCCTGGGGTGAGCTGAGGAGAGGATACCAAGGGGGCAGCCAGCAGGACCACCAGCTCTGAGGATACACATTTTCCTGGACAATTCCCACTGATCCAGAACGAGTCCTTGACTGGACCCTGTAGCAATGTCTGCTTCTAAATTAGAGGAGACCTGTCACTCTGAGGACAAGAGGAATGGCTGGGCATGCACCCTCCCTTCTTCCCAAGGAAAAAAAAGGGAATTGCATCCATCCTCCTCCAGGGAACAGTCCCTGGTCCACATTCTCCCTGGGCAATGCATGGAGCTCCGTGGTGTGGCCGTGGAGGAGACTGCTGTGACCAACAATCAGCTCACCCAGGAACTCCTTTCTATCCTGTCCTGTCTAGCACAGAAGAGGCCCCCTCATGGACCTGCAAACATTCCCAGGTGGGACACAGGGAAATCCACACCCTCTCCTGTCCCCTGCCAGCTCTCATTCCCCTCTTCCAGCCCACAGCAGCCTCATCTCTCCCCAGGAAAGCCGGGACAGAGCTCCAAGCTTGCAGTCCAACGCCCTCCAGAGATCTTTGGTCATGTTGCTCGTGAGCAAGCTATAAAGTGCCACTGGCAGGGGCAGGAATGGGGCAGGATGGTCTTTTCCGTGGGCAGAGCTCCAGGGGGACACCACTGGGAGCCACTGTCTGTGTGACACAACATGGGCAGGGGGGACTTCAGCCTTAACCAGGGGACAACAGCAAATCCTGGCATGGGATGACAGCAACAAAGCAGGACAGAGTGACACCAGGCTGTTGGAGTCAGTCCCGAGGGGATTGCTTTCCTGGGAGGTGCTGAGCCCCTGATTCCCACTGCCACAGCTCTGGGGGTGCTGAGCACCCTCCATGTGAACACAGCATCAGTGCTGCTGGTCCTGCTCACCCAGAGAGAAGCCACAGAGCTGCCTGGTCTCCGTTTAATCACTGAACATACAGAGCTGGGCCGTGGTTTACATCCCTCTGTATAACGTAGCAGCGTTAAGAGCAACAATCAGATTCCCCTCTGGAGTGTGGAAACCCGGAGGAGAGGGATCTCCCCCCGGCACGGCGCCAGCGACAGCAGGAATGGTGCTGTGAGACGGTGGCAGAAGCTCAGTGGGACTGTGTGAGGCACAACAACGTGCCATGGCTGTGGTTTCACCCTTGGGGTGAGACAGGAGTGCTGGAATCAGCCCAGCCTGGGTCGGTGTCTGACAGCGACAGCAGCCAGCCTGGGAATGGTGGTGGAGCAAAGCAGTGAGGGGTGAGAACTTCCCTGGCACCAGGACAGCCTGCTTAGCCCCCATCCTCATGGATGGAAGTCTCTGGAGCTGAGCAGTGTCCTCTGTTTGTGCTGTGGATGTGCCTGGAGCGTGACTCGGCTGTGTGTGTGTGGGTCGCTGCTCCAGGACTTCCCACCACTGGCCTGGCTCTCCCAAAGATCACACAATCAGCTGGGTTGGAAAAGACCTCTGAGATCAGCGAGTCCAACCTGTGACCCAACATTGCCTTGTTACCCAGCCCGTGGCACTGATGCCACATCCAGTCTCTTCTTAAACACCTCCAGGGAAGTGACTCCACCACCTCCCTGGGCAGCCCATTCCAATCTTGGATCATATTGCCCAGCCCCGTGTGTCAGGTGTCCCAGAGCATCTCTAACGTCTGTGGACCCCTTGTGTGGGGCAAGTGACCTGAGACCCTCGTGGCCACAGCTTGTGGTGGTGGCCAGTGGCAAGTTAGAGATGATTTTGAGGGCAGGACTTGGAGAATTACACATGAGCCAGGATGTCACTTGGAGCTGAATTCCATTAGCTCCAAGGTGGAGGAGACAGCTGGGTTGTGGTCAGCCCCAGACTCTGTGTGGAGTTTCATGGGACAGAAACCTTTTATCAGCCCTGCCTGAGCCTCCAAGAGACGATGCCAGCTTCCTTGGGCATTCCCAGGATGTGTCACCAAAACGCCAGTCTGGCACCCCTTGGCTATTTCACCCCAAGGCTGAGACCCCAGAGCCTCAACACAGACCTAGTTTGGGATGGGAGACTTCATCCAGTCAGTGTGTGAAAGATGGGAGGAGCCAGGTGAGCTCCCACCTGGGCATAAAAAACAGGAATCCAGGTGTCCCACCATCATTTTGCTCCATCTCTGCTGAGCAAAGGGCTGGCATAGGGATGAGGACGTGATGGGGAGCAGTGCATCCAGTTGTGGGGAGGAATCTTGAAGCCCAGGAATCCTTTGGGGCAGTTTGGCCGGGGAACTTGCCAAAACCATCTGTATTTTATGTCACCAGAGCACAGGGGGGTGGTTTCTGCTGGACAGCCGAGTGCTTGGGGGAATCCTGGGGGAATCCTGGGGGAATCCCAAGACAGGGAAAACCAGCAGCAGCAGCAGAGTGTCTTAATGGGTGTCTGCAAGGCTCTGTCATCCAGGGAATGTCCACAAATTGAGGTCCCTCAGATCTGGATCGAAACTCTTTGAAGTGATGCAGTGAAGAAGAAAGGAGTGGGCCTTTCCTCCTCCAAGGTGCAAAACTTCTCCTTGCTGCTCCTGCCCCAACCCAAGCAGTCCCTGATGGATGCACTGTGAGGCCATCGAGCCCCTGGGCAGTCCAGCACCCCTGTGTACCTCCAGGTTTCACCGGATCCATCAAGACACTAATTCCTGGTACAACTGCAAAAAAGATCGAGGAAAAATGACGATGGGGCAAACCTGACACACTGGAGGACTTGGCTGACTGCTGCTGGCTGGGCCCAGGTATGTGGGGAGGCCACACAAGCCCCTGCTTCTCCTGCCCATGGATTGGGAAGCAGCTCTGGAGAGAAGGTGACCCACAGGGCGATGCCGGTGTCGGTTGCTCCTGAGTGTTAACGCAGCAGGGAATTGCGGTGTGCACGTCCTCAGCAGCAGAGCTGGAAGCTCAATCCCTCTGGGACTCTTCTCCACGCCCATCAGGGGTCAGACCTGACCTAATCCCCCTTTTATGGCTGGTCCTGGGAGAGAGGCTTAGCCTGAGCTGCCCCCCCGTGTTTTTCAGGATGAGTTGTGTCTTCCTCCAGCTCCAAAGACACGGGCAGATGTGGTGGGAAAAGACAGGAACCGTCAACTGGGATCTTGAAATGCCCTGGTCTCGTTGCACATCTCCATTTTCTACGGCTCCAGGGATCTCTGCCAGCCACCAGCAGCTCCTGGCCAGGAGCACTGCCCGATGACCTTGGTTGGTGGGACTAACTGCAGTCTCCTCTCTCTCTTTGCTCAGTCTGGAGCTCACCACAGCAATGCTTGTTCCCAAATTGAAGGTCAGACCTGGTGACTAAATGGGGAGCTTTTCAGAGAGGGAGCATGGAAAATGTGCAGGTTCAGGGCTTTTGCTTGGAAGGTCTTCAGCCCCTCAACACCCTGAGGTTCTTCCTTCTTATGCACATGGAATGTGATCTGGCCAAACCCTCCCTGGAGTCACTGCACAGACATTCCAAGGTGTCCAGTGCTAATTCCAGCTTTGTTCTCCTACGACAAAGAGCCAAAATTCCCACTCGTGTTGATCCTTTGGCCACTGCCCAGTCTGTGCAAACTCCACTTTGAAACGTTTTCCTTCTCTTTACTGTGGATCATGGTAAAAAAAGTGTCCATGAAAGGGAGAACTGGGCCCACTTTGCCCATGTTTTCAAGCCGAGAGCCGGGTTTTGCTGCCTCAGTGACTGTGCACGTAGGATTTGGTTATTGTTCTGCCAGGGCATAAGCACTTGCGTGATCTTAAGCATTTTCCCTTCTTAAGGAATGAATTCATGCTCAGAATTAGTAGCTGAGTGTTTTCTTAAGCTAGGCCTGCGTTATCTCCATCCCTGGAACATGTGATGCTGCGTGGGATGGCCGTGGGTGCTGTTTGGAATGGCTGTACTGAAGGCTGACGCTCGCCCCGTTGGAATCCAGCTGGGATGTGCCCCCTGCAACTCCTGAGTGAGGCTTGGATGCTGTTTTTAAGTAGAGCCTGGACCAAGAGAGTGCCCCAAAGCGTCACTCATTCAGGGACAGGGTGGCACAACTGCCCAATATTGGGGCAAATTGCTAAAGCTTCAGTTTGCATAAACATCCCACAGGCTTGGAGGCTTCCCCAAACCTTGATCCCATTGACTTTGGGAAGTAAGAGGGCTCTTGGGAAGGGAAACCAGCTTGGATTTCCAAGCTTTTTTTCTTGCTGTAGCCAGCTTGGGTGTATAGTAAGAGTAAGGGGACCAAGGCAGAGGTGGGAGGGTATTTCTGCTCCCAAGGTCGGTCACAACCTGGGAGAGGAGTGGAACCGCAGAAGGAAACCACAAGGAAATGAAAACACAGCTCTGCTGAGCCCCCAAAGAGGCTCCTGCCGGGAGATCATTCCTTGTTGGCTTCTGTTACCAGGACAGGCTCATCCTGCTCCTCAAGGATGTCCTAACCTCTTGCAACCATGGTAGCCATGGGCTGGCAAGGGGGAGTCGTCTGGCAGAGATATGTCTGGTTTCACTGAAATCAGTGGCCAACCTTGCACTGACTTCACTAAGACCATCGTCTGGAACAGGATACTTGATGCAGAACAGTGAGTTTGCTCATCATCCCGAGAGCTTTGCTCCATTAGCCAATGTGGCTAAAAACATCTTGGAAAGAAAAAAAAAAACCAACCAAACAAACCAACAAACCTGCCACTTTGAACTGTTTCGCTGCACGAAAATGCTTGGGAAACCAAAGAAACCGAATATTAACCCTCCAAAACAACCAACCGAGAAGGGGTGAATTGTAGGAGAGGGGGTGGCAGCCTCCAACGGAGTAACAGTCACGGCAGATTAACGAAAGAGCCAATTTTGACCCTCACCAGCTGTACTAGGAAAAAAAAAAACCCAAAAGAGATGTCGTATCATTGATAGAAAACCAACGCACATCCACAGTTATTTTACCTACAGAGCACAGAAGTGGAGAGTAAGGGTGGTGGAGCTCGGCCGGGAGCAGAGCAGGCTCCCCCCGCTCCGGCGGTAGCGCGTTATCCTTCGGAAGATCACTGGCTTGAGTAGGTAGTACATGCACAGCAATAAAAAAATCTCGTTGTGTGGCGGTGGTGGCCCCTCCTCAGATCTCGGTGGACTCGATTCGCTCGAGCCTGGAGGGAGTCCACGTCTTTTTCTCCTCGGTGTGCGGGGGGCTGGTGGCCTTGGTGTTCATCTCGTTCACCTTGTGCTCCAGGAGCTGGTTCTTCTGGTACATCTCCACGTAGTTCAGCTGCAGCTGCTTCTGGTACTTGATGACCTTCTCCTTCTCCTCCTGCCACGTGCGCCGCTCCTCCTCGAAGTCCATCACCTGCTGCTCCCGCTGCTGCCGCTCCAGCTTCAGCTCCGTCTGGAGCCGCTCCACCTCCTTCCGCAGGGAGTTCACGCTGTCCTCGCTCTGCCGCTGCATCTTGGCCTCGTCGCTCTCGCAGGCCAGCGGGTCCCGCAGCTTCTCGCCCAGGTCGCCCCCGAAGGGCCCCGGGGGTCCCATGCTGGCAAGTGTCCGCTTCAGGCCGGAGACCTCCAGCTCACAGTGGTTCAGTTTTTCCCTCAGCACCTGCACCTCGCTCATCTTGCGCTGCAGTTCGCCCTCGCAGATCTCCAGGTTGACGCTCTTGGAGCTGTAGGAGTCCTTCAGGGTGAGGATCTGCTCCTCCTTCTCCCGCAGGAAGTTCTTGCCTTCCTTGAGCTGCGAGCGCAGCCCCACGATCTCGTTCAGCTTCTGGGAGACGTCTGCCTGGGAGTCCTTCAGTTGCTGCTTGAGCAGGGAGATCTCGCCTGCCTTCTGGCACACCTGTGGGAAGAGCATCCGTGAGGTCGGGGGACGGCAGCGAGGAGCCACCACCCCTGCTCGTCCCTCGTGCTGCCCATGAAACAGCCCTGCTCGAGGGCTGAGTTCCAGCCTTCACCAGGCCCCAGACCATGCCAAAGACCTAAAGGTCGTCCCCACACCTGTGGGGGGTATTTTGTGTTTTTTCCTGCAGAAACTTGGGACTTTTCAGGCACCTGATGCTGTTCCCAGCTGGAGTTGTCCAAACAGCTGAGCCAGGTGCTGTGAGACAGTGATGCTTCCCTCCTTGCATTTGTCCTACCCACCCAACCACAGCCCTGTGGTGCTTGACCCCAAACCCTCTGCTCTCAGCAGGAGTTTTCCCACTGACCTCAGTGGCATCTGGACCTTGAACAAGCCTGAGACAGAAACACCTCAGACCCAGGGACCACCCGGGCTCTCCCCGAGCACTGGGACAGCAGGACAGGATGATGTTACTTACTCATCCTATGATGCCTTCCTTCACAAAGTCTCCTAAAGAACCCTGGAAGCGTTCAAGGCTTCAAGGACAGGGCCTGGAGCACGCTGTTCTAGTGGGAGGTGTCCCTGCCCATGGCAGGGGGGTGGAACAAGGTGGTCTTTCAGGTCCCTTAACAGGGAGCCAAAGGAGGGACAATGCAGCCTCCTCATTCTGGGATGTAACTTGCAGGGATTTTACAACAAGCCTCTAATAAGCTCTGCTGAACATCTGCAAAAGCACATTTCAGAGCCTGGTTAATCCCAGCTTCCTCGACTTCCCATCAGGATTAGCAGAATAGGGTCTTCTTGATTCTAGTGCTACATTTTGCCTTTGCACTCTTAATAAATTTAAAGTTTCTAGCCAGTCCATGGAAGGATTAAAATTCTTCACATGATCAAACTGGGAAAAAAAAGGTATGTGAGCCCTGGCTATACAAACAGACTTTGATAAAATGTTCTAAAAATAGAAACAGTAGGAAAAAATTATGTAGAACTCAACAGGAGAACTAGAAAGAGGAATTTGCTTTTCAGCTTTTTAAGAGAGATAAACTTATTAAGAACTGAAAACAGCGTGTTGCAATGGAAAGCATGAGGTAGACTTGGCCATTGATATAATTTTTAGCTCAGTTGCTTTTTATCTTCAGCAAAAAAAAAAATCATCAAATATTTGAAAAGCAGTTTCAAGGTTTGCCCAAACGCAGACCTTACAAGAATTTAATTAAAACAGACTTAAACCTGTTTTTGGTAGGCACAAATACCTGTATGGAACGAGTTGTGTTCCCTGAGACTGGATTTAAATGTCACAAGTTGGAGTGACCAGGCTGCGAAGTCAAATTATTAACCAGCACAGGAGGTGTGCACAGAAAGTTGTGCTTATTTTACTTTAATGGAAAACAACAGGTTTAGGACTCAAGACAAATGAGGTGACAAGTGTCCACAAGAGGCCACCAACCCATAGCCACTATCTGTGGGGTCCACTTAGGGCATGTGGGAGGTACTTTGGGCTACCAGAACCCTTGATGAAAACCTGGTACAACAAAGCTCTTACCTCCCACTTGGTCTCTTCAATCTTTGGGAGAAACTCAGCCTGCTCCTTCTTGAAAGCCACGAATTTCTTCTCCAGCTCCTCTCGCTGCTGGAGGAGCTGCCCCATGTCGTCCTGGAGTTTTTTTTTCTCCTGCTGGAGCTTGAAAATTTGGAGCTGCAAAGCCTGCTGAGCCCGCTGCGCCTTTTTGGAGACCTGCTGCAGCTTGTTGGCGTAGTTCTGCCTCAGGTCCTCCATCTCCCTCTCCCAGATCTTCTGCTTCTCCTCGAACACCTGGAAGATCGCCGCCTCGCTCTTGTCCAGGTTCCTCCGCATCTGGAGGACCTCCTGCTCCTTCTCCCAGAGCCGGTCCTCCAGGTCCTGGATGATGTCGTCCGTGGAAGGCGAGTGGAAAGGCATGGTCTCGTTGAGATGGTTCAGCCTGCTGAAGGAGGAGGTGCTCTTGCTGGAGGACCGCCCGCTGTCTGAGGTAGATATCCCGTTGTATCCCACGATGTTCTTCTCCACGTAGGTGGTGCCGATGCGGTTGATGTGGCTGGTGGAGGCGCTCATGGGCCCCACATGCTGGCTGTAGCCCGTCCCGTAGGTGGGCAGGCTCGTTAGGGAGTTACGCCCCGAATCCGAGAGCCCCCCCCCTTGGTTTGTAGTCCTGTTAAGGCTGCCCTTGTCGAGCCCAGCTTTGGGTGCGGACGGGCTATTGCTGTTGGCGTGGTTCAAGCTCTTCCTGTTCTCCGTCATCCCGTTGCTCTGCGGCGGGCAGAGGTTCTGCATGGAATGGAAGTTTTTAGGAACTACTGGCTTAAAGGCTGAGGGTCTAACTAAGGGCTCATTGCTCTGCAAAAAGGAAAAAGGACCACGCGTCAAACACGGCAGGAGGCTCGGTAACGACACAACAAAAAGAGACACGTCGGCACAGGGCGGGGCTGGTGGGGTCAAGTCAGCTTGGGCTGGCTCCATGTTACACCTTTTGGGCCATTTGGGGTTGTACAGGAGGGACCTGTAGTCACTGGTAGGACATGAGGGAGCTGTGGTCACCGGTAGGACAACACTTTGTCTTCCCTTGCCCCAAATAAAAAGAAGTAATCTTGACTCGCCCCCAAATCTGCATGATTTACCCCCTGGGATACTCCTCGGGCTGCCACTTGCCTACCAAACCTGATCAAAAGAACTCTGATTTTGGCTGGTCATATTTGGAAGGACTCTCAGCCTTGAGGGTGCATCATCCTGTTGCTGAAAGCTGAATTGAACCCTTGGATTGGCAGCTATTTTGCCCCAAGAGCATCATGTTTCCCTCCCGCTGGGAGTGATCTCTTCCTGTGTGGACCTTGTGTCCTGCTTATGCTCTGATGGGAGCAGGTAGGAGCTGTGACCCCAGCAGTGACTCCAGGCAAGGAACATGCTGAAGCTGCTCTTCACTGGAATATTTGTGTTTTCTGTGGGCATAAGCAATGCAGGGGGGAAAATGGACCACAGGGATTTAGAAAGGATTTTAAAACCTTGAACATTCCCCACCCTGTCAATGTGCCTACAGAAACAAAATTTCCTCAAAATGGGATTGAGTCTCCCCTGCTGCATGTTGAATTTTAGATGAAAATTACAGCAGAGGAGTCAAAGATGTTTTGGAAGTGCCTTCTGGGAGAGACAGAAGGAGCCCTGGTGAGCAGGCTGGAGACCAAAAACCTGGTGCCTGTGAGACTGAGGTGGACTACAGGGACCAGTGGATTAACAACCCAGGAGAAATGGCCACCAAACACTGCAGAAATAATACTGGACACAAATTATGGAAGTCAGTGGAGCAGGGCAGCAGGGGACATAAACCACTGCTGGCTCTGGGGCTCTGCTCCTCCAGACCTGGCAGATTTTGCTCCCTGAAGCCAAAATGAGCCACAAGGACTGGGCTGGACTGAGTCATAATGTTTACAGGGGTAGTTTCAAGCCTTGTCACCTTGTCCCTCACAAGGGATTTTGAACAGAGGCTCGGAGCTGCTTTCAAGCCACAGCTTTATGTGGCAGTGGGCGGTTGAGGATTGCCTGTAAGTGGTACAAACATAAGAGTGGGACTCAGATGTTGGACCTACTGAAACAAGAGCTGATTCCAGCTCCCTCCCCATCCATCAGAGAGGTAGACACATCATCTCAGGGAGGTTGGAAGAGCCAGTGACTTAAATACAGGTTTAAACGATCTGAAAACTTCACTGAGATCATGCTCTGGGGTTCCTCAAGAATAACTTTGGCCCTGAAAGTGATAAGAACGATACTACCTGCACATAAAATGTACAGAGTGAGAATTGGACTGCCTGCCAGGATTGCTTTCTTGCCCAGGGCTTCCTGGCGCGTGTTTTCAGGGCCGTGCCGTGGCCACCGAGCAGCTCCAGGAGGCGGAGGGTCTCACCTGGTCGAGTTTGCCGGAGATTGGCAATATCTTTGGTGGGTTACCGGGCTCTCGGTACTGGGGAGGAGGCGGCAGGTTCTTCTCGTTGTTGGAGGTCACGTTCCCACAGATGTCCATCTTCACCTTCTCGCTCTTGCGCAGGTCGCCGTTGATGTAGAGGGAGTTGGAGACCTTCTCCGACTTGTAGGTCTTCTCCTCGCCGGAGTAGCGGTTGGAGATCTCCCGCCCGGAGTAGCCGTTGCTGCGGGAGCCCTCGGAGGCCTGGCGGCCACTGCCCTGCGTCCGGGTGCCCACGCTCTTCATGGCGAACTCCTGGTCGTTGGCCACGCCGCTGCCCACGCTCCCCATGGCACTCCGGGGGGCGGCGGTTCGGGGTGGCCGGGCGGCGAGTCCGTGGAAGTTCTGCGGGCTGGCGCGGGTGGGGTCACTCAGGACGGGCAGCGTCTCCAGCGTGGCCATGGCAGCGTCGAGGTGAGGTGGAGGCACGGGTCAGTGGCACTGGGGGCGGGAGGGAGAGGAAAGGAAGGGCTGTTAAAGAGGTGTCTTTTACCCACCACCCCCCTTTGCAGGTCGAAATCACGTCCCGGTGTCCGGTACGGAGCAGATGATGGGGTTGTGCTCCTCTCCGGGAACCCCAGACCCCCTGTGGCAGGAGGGCCCACCCCAGCAAGGCCTAAAATCCAATCAGAAAATGCAAACAGTGGCCAGCTCTCCTGTCAGCTCTCTGTGATGTGTTAGCAGTGGTAATGTTCTTGGTGTTGAATTCTGCTAAAACCAGCCTAGTTCACCAAACTCCAAACACACATCCTGCTTTTTGAAGTCTGATGTGACAGATAAGCTGGGAGCTGGCCTGGAAATTTGTGACTGGCGCTCAGTCACTTTATACCCTAAAAGTGCAGTCCCCTTTCACACAGTCAGGTTCTTCTAACTTAACCCTTCTTGGGGTGTACATGTGGAGATTCCTACCTTGGCTGGGGACACCTCCCAAGGTGACCCCTCGAGGCTGAGAGATCTCCCCATGAATGTTGGGCTGGGGGAGTTAATCAAATCTCTACTTAATAACTATTTCTTTTTGCCAGCTTTAATATAATTGCTTCAATAATTGCTTCAGTATAGTGCACCATCCTGTCTTATACTACACTATTAGTAGTGTTAGTGTTTGTATTGTACAGCAAATAATTCTGATTAAGATGTTTTGTCTGATCATTTGAATAAAATAAATGATTCATTTTATGTAAATATTCTCATTTTGCCAATCATTACACCCTGCTGGACAAAAGTAATTCAGTCACACATTCTGTAATTCCTTAAATTTAAACCGTTGACATAATCCAAGGCTGAGACTGGATTCAGCTGCACCTGGACTCCTCTCTCAGCAGGAGTTTAGAAAGCCAGGGAGCCCTTTCTGCACCTTGTGACTCAGTAGCAGGGCTTTTTAAATAAATTCTGTCTAAGCCTTTCACTCCCATCCACGACACCCCCTTGGAGAAGCACTGATCCCCCAAATCCCACTCACTGCCCTCCAAAAAAGCTTCTCTTAAAGCCTCTGAGCCCAAGGGTTGGGTGCTCCCCGGGGCAGGGAGTCTGTGTGGGTTTTGTTTGGCACAGCTCTACGGCACCGGTCGGACACGACCGTTTGCAGTTCCCGAGGTTGGATTATTTCTGTCACTTTTCCCAGGTTTGAACAAGTTTGAGTTACCATGGGAATATGATTTCTCCATCCCTGGTCCATCAGTAGCTTATCCAATTCCTCCCTCCAGCCCATCTCTTAGGGATGATTCAACAAGGCTTAAACAACACACTTTCCATCTTGTCCTTTGGGACTGTTGCTCCTGTGGGCTTGAGCTTTTAGAAAGGTGCTTTTGTCCAGGTGTCATCCTAAGTTTTCTTTCAAACATTTATTCCCCTTCTCCATCTTATTCCTACTTAGGTTGTGCCTTGGATTGGCCAAAACTAGGCCATGGGAAGTGGATAATGTGCAAATAATGGTTTTAAGAGTTGTCTTTGGCCAGGTCAAAGGAGCTGGGACCAATTGTCCTCGGGACCAATTCTCACATGTCTGGATGCTCTTCATCAGCTTTTACACAAAGGTGAAAAATCTTATTTAAGGAAATAAGAGCAGTGGGAAGTGAAGGTTTCCCCCTGGATGAGATAATAAAAAAAGTGATGCTCCTTGCAGAGAGGTTCAGGGATGGAGGAGCTCAGACAGGGCCAGCAGGAAGGGGAGATGGAGAAAACCCCCATTTCAGTGGGGTTTTCCCTCTCCTTGGGGTAGGGATGTTCATTGAGCCCTCCCTGAGAAAAGCAGGAGAGCTGGGTTTATTTCCCTGGAGAGCAAGCTCAGATCTGGAGCTCAGCTCCCGTGTGGTGTCTCAGGGGGTCTTGCTATTTGCCCTAATAATGGAATGGAGAAGCATTTAAAAGGTTAAAGCAGGGGCTGTGCTGCTCAACTTTGTTTTTATTAAACTGCAGTTTCTGGAGGCTTCTCCTCTCTCTTTCCAGCACCTTTTCCTGTCCAAAAGACAGCTTGAGTGTCACGTGGCTGGTGGGCAGATGTGGCAAACAGCTGTGCCAGAGGGAGAGGGCACAGAGCTGATACCTACAGTGAGCTGGCAGAGCTCCTGTGGCTGTGGTCGCATCCTAAAGACACTTCCCAAAGAGCATCATAGACAGTTCATCAGTGCATAATGCCCAGGAGCCAATCCAGCTGCCTCCTGGGCACCTGGAGACTTGTTTGGGCTATGGAGCTATGAGAAGGTGTGGGCAACACCCACCCGAACCCACGGCACTTTTGGATTTTGTTAGTCAAGGGAAGACTTTTTGTTCTGCTAATTTAGGAGTAACCTGCTTTTCAGTGACTTTTTTCAGTCACTTTTCAGTGACTTCTCTTTGTGGGACACCAGCCACCACGGGAGGGATGTGCTGGAAGGCCTCAGCTCCAGAGGAGGGAAAGGCAGAGGCTGCATTGTCTCCATGCAGAGCTCCCCAGCCAGCAGAGGAGAAATCCAGGTTACCTTTCCCTCACTGGGTAAATTTCACGGTGACATTTGCACATTTACATTGACTCTCTGAGGGCAGGATGAGGTCACTGGAAAGTCTGATCCTTAAAAAGGAAAAAAAAAAAAAAGGCCAACGCAACAACAAGCGGTTTCTTTTAACTGGGAATCATCCAAGCAAACATTCTGAAAAAAACTTGTTATTAGCTTATGTTTACTGCAAACCCAGGGCCTGATAAACAGAGTGCAAGGACAAGCCTTACAAATGTGTTATTAAGGAGGTGCCAGAAGTGCCAACAGATCCCCGACAGTACAGCTTTGTTTGCCAAAAAGGGCCATTTTTTTGAGAACAACAACTCTTGGGTTTGTATCTTCTGGCAAGCTCCGGTTCCCAGTCAGGTTTTGCACTGGTTGTTCCTCAGCTGAACTGAGGAAACTGAACTGAAAACAAGTTTTGAGCACAGGAATAGCTCTGCCATGCTCTGGTGCAGAGCAGGAGGTCATTTTTTTCTCCTTCCAGGTTTGGAGGAATGCGCGATTCAAAATTCCCCACCACATTTCTTCTGCTTAAAACTCTTAATCTCTGTAGTGATAGGACGAGGGGAAATGGTTTTAAACTTGCAGAGGGCAGGGTTAGATTAGATATGAGGAAGAAATCCTTGGCTGTGAGGTGGGTGAGGCCCTGGCACAGGTTGCCCAGAAAAGCTGTGGCTGCCCCTGGATCCCTGGAAGTGTCCAAGGCCAGGTTGGACAGGGCTTGGGGCAACCTGGGATAGTGGAAGGTGTCCCTGCCCATGGAGGAGATGATCTTTAATGTCCCTTCCAACCCAAACCATTCTGTGGTTCTATGACTCCATGATATTTACCTCCCTCCCATGGGAACGTGAACTAAAACTGGGTGATTCCCAGTGAAAGGAACTGGCAGTCCATGAGCACAGGAAGGCTGAGAGAAGCCAATTTGCTCTACTTTAGCAGTGTTTCATTCCCAAGTCAGTCCTTTGGAAGGAATGAGGAGTCACCCTCAGCATGGCTGGGCTTGGAAGAGACTGCCAAGCCATGGTAAAGGGATGAAAGTGGCTCCCCTTGGCCTGTGGAGGGTGGAGAGGCTCCAGGCAGGCAAGAAACTAAAACAGGAGTATTAAGCCACCTGCCAGCCACTGCTCTTTCCAGAAGTTCTATATTTCCAGATGTTACATCCCATCTGCAGTGGGGAGGAGGCACCAGGAACATCTCAGTCTCCATCCTCACCAGGCTCTCAGGAAGATGCTGTGTCCAACTCACCTCCCCGGGAGGACTAGGTCTATCCAAATCAATCCCAAGTGACATCTATCTGTCCATCTGTCCATCTGTCCATCCATCCCAGCAGTCACTGAGCCACAAGGCCCTTGCTGAGCTCTGCCCTCACTCCAGCTCCCCAAAGCCCCGTGGTTACAGCAGGAACCTGAGTGAAGGGACTTTCTGCAGACACAAAGGAGGGGGAAAACCCCTCCAGAACAAACACTGAGCCGAGTTCACATTTCCCAGCATTTCTGTGTGAATAAAAGCTCAAAAGAGTTTCTTTGTCTGCCTGGATTGATTCAAGACTCCCTTCCCGGTAGGCATCTCCATGCCAGCACCTTACCAAGGTGCAGACAGCCTTCTCTGACCAGGGACACTGGGATTTCACAAACTCCATGTTGCACCACCTCCCTGTCCCATCCAACTGCAGTGGCCCCTTGGCCTTTCCCGCAGCAGCCTTGCCTTGGAGACAGCAATATTTTAATGCCTGATGCATGAAATCTGAGGTGAAATGTCCTTTTCCACCAGCTGTGGTGGTGAAAATCTTCATGGCCACCTCTTACCCAGACTTCTCACCATCCCTGCAGCTCCAGGGCACTCCTATTGTAAATACAATTATTCGTAAAATAACAACTGTGTCTTCACACTTGCTTTATCCAAATGAGTTAGCGATTGCCTTCCAGTTAAACAGAATTAAAAATCACTTTCAGATAAGCAGCTGAATGGTTAACTAAGACTAAATTATGGGGGCCTGGCTCTGTTTCTGCCTGAGCAGGTTAATTGTTAACACTCTCGTAACAAAGGCCTTGGGGAGACAGACATACCTGGGCACTGTGCCACGGGAGAGAGAAATCAATCACCGGGCCTGGGCAGAGGGAGCTCCGGCAAACAGCCCCGGAGCAAGGCAGTGCCTTGGCACACGCACCACCCCAGGCATGTGGTGCTGGCAGGACGGGCAACAAAGGCATCTGAAGGTCAAAAATTCCCCCTCCTCGCCGTGGTAACAGGTGTGCCCGTGACCTTCAACTGGCACAGGTTTGTTTGCGTCGGGTTTAATGAGCAGGCAATTACTGACACGATAAAAAACATGCTTTGTGGTGCTGGTTTTTTTAGGGCTATAGGGCCTGCACCTGCCCCCTGTTTAGGGGCTCTGGTGGGCTCTGCCAGTTTGTTGGCGGCAGTGCCAAGGAGCTGGGTTGGCTGGAGGAAAAAGAAGTCAGCACA